CAAAAAAAAAAAAAAAAAAAAAAAAAAAAAAAACATACGTGAAAACACTGATTCATGGGATTTCATCATATTTTTTAACTTATGCAAAAAACATCATAGTGTAGGCAAATCACAGACCATGAAAAAATATGCAGTACATGTATCTATAAAGCATTCATATCCAGAATATATAGCAAACCCTAGACATCAACAATAAAAGACAAGTAACAAACAAACACAGAACTCCTTCCAGATACACTTGGGAAGGGTTATTGGTTTGCTGGGTATTGAACCCAAAGCTTTTGCACAAAGTTACATTCCCAGGCTTTTTTATTTTAAGACAGGGTTTCACTAAGTCACTAGGTTGCCCAGGCTGGGACTGAATTGGTAACCTTCCTGCCTGAGTCTCTTGAGTGCTAGGATTATAGAAAAATGCCACCACTCCCAGCAGCTAAGAATGTACTCTGAAATAAAAATGTCTATAGCTTGTTTTAGGTAGTGGCTGCAAGGGTATAACACAACTGTCAAATGTCAAAACCTATCAAAATGAACCTTAAGAGCTGTGCATTTTTTTAAAAATGTATTTTTAATATTATAAATCACTGACTTTAGATGTTTTTTCTAAATAATGAAATATAGGAGTAGGTGGATGAAAGCTCCCACCCCACAATAGAAATGTGGAAAAACTGTTCAAACAAACTTTGACAGAGGTCTGGAAAATAAGCAAAGGTTTGCAATAATCAAGTCGATGCTGAATCAAGAAAAAGGCAATTTTAAAATGAGGGAAATTTTTTAAATGGTGGAAATGTTTTCTGGGCTTTTAAATTAAACTTACTACTCTCACTGGTTCTAAAGGATGCAGAGCAAAACCTTTTCACAAATTACTGTGTAGGTCTGCTGTAGCCTGTAAGGACTGACATGAGGCACCTGTTTTGCCAAATTTGGAACTCAGGCTGGAAAAGCAGTGAGCACTGCTCAAAAATATGTTAAGGCAGAGAATGACCTGAAGATGTTTGGGACAAGGGCTGTGGTTTAAAACCTGGGAAAAAATAAAAAAAAACAAGAAGAAAGTTTTTTTAGGAACTTTGTGCTTTCAAAGGATCTGTGTGTACAAGGAAATTTAGACAGACATGCATACCTAAGCCCAAACACACAACCAGAAAAGATCTAAGAAGGGGGAGGCAGAAAATACCTTGAGATAGAAGTAAATAAAAACATAATATTACAAAACATAAGACACAAAAAGACCTTAAGTCTTTACCCAAGGCTGATCCCAAAGCTCAGTTCAAGTCTGGCTAAGCATTAAAAGAGCTCTCCAAGACAAAGCCAATTTTCAAAACAAGATTTGGGTTTTTTTGTTTTGTTTTGTTTTTGTTTTTGTTTATTTCTTTGTTCCAGCTCCTAGTGTTCAAGAAAGTTTCTGTTAAAACACTAAGTGGGGCCAGGGAATTTAGCTCAGTGGTTCTGCTGCCTGCCTCGCAAGCAAAAGGTCCCAAGTTCGATCCCCAGTACCAAAAAACAAACAAACACACAAACACTAAATGAACACAAACTAGGACATACAGACTTCAATCACACAAATGACAAAGAAGACGGTCTCTGGGGAAAAAAGTTGTGAAATGATGCTAGACAAATGGACCACTATAACATTCAATAATTTGATAAACAAACAACTCTGGGAAAGAGGAAAATCCGATTGCCAGACTTAGCCTAGTATAGCAAGTCAACAACAAAGCCACAAAGCATAAATGAAATAGGAAAGTATGGCTATTCGAATGAACAAATAAAAAACTGTTCTTGAGGAAGCAAAGGTATTGACTGTACTAGACAGACTTTACAACAGTCTTAAATAGCCAGGTGTGGGGGCACATGCCTGTAATCCCAGCACTCAGGAGGCTGAGGCAGAAGGATTGCTGTGAGTTCGAGACCAGCCTGGGCTACATAGTGAGTTCCAGGTCAGTCTCAACTACATAGTGAGGCCCTGTCTCAAAAAAACAAAACAAAAAACAGTCTGTCTTAAACATTTTCAAATAAGTAAAGGAAAATATGTACAAATACCTAAAGTTATGAAAATAATGTACGAACAAAATGAAAATACCAATAAAGAGGAAGAAAATATAAAATTGATTATAAAAAGAATCTAACAAATTCTGGAAAGTACAATAATTGAAATGAAAATTTCATTACAGGGGTTCAACAGGAGACGTGAGAAAGCAGGACAGAGGACAAGGAGCAGGAAGATAAAAAGAGTGAAATTAGGAGCAGCAAGAAAGAAATTTAAGTGAACAAAGGCTGAGGGACTTATGATCATCATCAAGTGAGCAAACTTACACAAGATGGAAAGACAAGTGGGCAGAAGAATGGAAGAATTCGGCAAAGAGATAATTTGAAGAAATAATGTCTAAACCTCCCAAATTTGATACAAGACAAAAATGTCTACCAACTCCAAGAAGAATAAATTCAGACTCATAGTGAGATGCATTATAATCAAACTGTCAAAAGACAAAGGGACTCCTGAAACAGCAAGAGAAGTGACTCATCATTTACAAAGGGTCCTCACTAACATTAGCAACTGGTAACTACAGAAACCCTGAAGGCCAGAAAATAGAGGATACTATATTAATAATACTAAATGAATAAAACGATCAACCATAAATTCTACATCTGGCAAACTGTCCTTCAAAGCTGAAGAATTAAAATTGAGACATTCCCAGGTAGACAAAAAGCAAAAGAGTTCACTACCGGTTGTGCTCTGTAAGAAATGCTCTCTCTACCCATGCTCCTGAAGAAGGGAATTCAGGCTGACAGGAAGGGCCATTAATCAGAATCACAAAGTTGTACGGAAAAATACAGTACAGGTAACTACATGGCAAATACAAAAGCCAGTATTAAGGTATCCAGTCTGTAACTCTACTTTTTGTTTCCTACAACATTTTTTTTAAATGAAGACTGGACGGGTTCACTGGTGAATTCTACCATACATTAAAGAAGAAACACTACCAATTCTCTACAATTTCTTTCAGAAGATGAAAGCAGAGAGAACAGTTTCTAACACATTCTACTAGACCAAAGGCAGACAAAGACATCGCAAAAAAAGAAAACTGCAAGTCAATGTCTCTCATGAACATATATGAAAAACTCAACAAAATATTACCAATTTTTAAAAAAATCTATAAAAAGAACTATGTACCACAACAAAGTGGGTTTTATCCCAGGTATACAGGCCAGTTCAACTACTGAAAAGTAATGAAATTCAGCCCATGAACAGGTTAAAAAAAAGTCATTGATCATATAAATGAACGCAGAGAAACCATTTGACAAAATTCAATGCCCATTTATGATTTTACAAAAATCTGTTGGCTAAGTAGGAATAGACAGGAACTTCTAAATTGTATAAAGAGTATCTACAAAACACAGCCAAGATCATAGCTAACAGTAAGACACTAGAGTTTTCTCACCAAGATCAACAACACGGTAAGTACCAAATAATTTCTCTGGTGTAAAAAACTAAAAGTGTAGGACCGGGGTTTTAACACAGTGGTTCGGTGGCCTGCCTTGCAAGTGCAAGGACCTGAGTTCAATCCCCGGTACCAAAAAAAAAATCTAAAAGTGTAAATAAGATTCAAATGGTATAACTGATAATGTGATCAGATTTTTGTTTTTTGTTTGTTTGGTTGTTTTTTTGGTTTTTGGTGTTTTTTTTGTTTTGTTTTGTTTTTTTGGTACCAGGGATCAAACTCAGGAACTTGCACTTGCGAGGCAGGTGCAGTGCCACTGAGATAAATCCCCAGCCCAATAATGTGAAATAGGAAGAAAACATCTAAAGGAGTAGGGGAAGTGGGAAGGGTAGAGGAAAGGAGAGAAGGGAAAAGAAAAAATATGAGAAAAGTAAAAAAATGGAAACAAAGTCTTTGTAAATAGGAAAGAGTGGAGGAGGTGAAGGGAGGGCAAAGAAGTGAGGAAAAAATAAGAACCAAGATACATCATGTAAAGGTACAAGATCCCAACGATGAATGTAACTGTACTGTATACCTAAAATGTACCAATAAAATTAATGGAGAAAAAAAGAACAAGGCCAAAATGTCATTCACCACTGCTTAATGAAATATTGAAATATTCCAGTGGAAGTTCTGCTAATGCATTGAGAAAATGAAATAGAAGGTGTACAGATTAAGATGAAATAAAATCAAAATGTCACTGTTTGCAGATGACATAGTTGTCTAGATAGAAAATCTGAACAAACTGCCTAGAGAAATAGAAACAAAAAAGATACTGGATATAGCAAGGTTTTGCAAGATAAAAATGCTAACACACAAAAATCAATCATTTCTGTATATATTAGCAATGAATTAAGTAGAATTTGAAATTATAAACAATATCATTTATATTAGCACCAAAATACATGAAACAGGTAGAAACCTCATGAAACACATATAATATCTAGTAGTGGAAAATAAATTCTAATGAAAGAAATCAAGGAACTGAATAAAACTGACAGCCATTTTGGAAAATGGAGCTCTCTGAGTGGATGCACAGTTTCTGGGGTGATGAAAAAGTTTTGGAAACAGAGGTGATGGCTATATACACTGTAAATTCAATCAACACTACTGCAATTAAAATGGTCATAGTATAGACTTTTTAAAATATTTTTAAAATGTCTAAAGACAAGGAAAATTACCATGGTAAAGTAGATGAGGCTAGGTCATGAGGGCGGGTGGGGCCTCCTACAGAGGCATTCAAAACAGACCTAAGAGGAGAAACAGTGCAGGGAGAAGCAGGGGCCACAGTTTCTCTCCGCCCCTTCCAACCCCTCCAAAGCACAGCCACTGAAGAGTCCCTACCCCCCCAGCTGACTCAGGTCTGGCCATATCACCTGAAAGCTCTGAGACACAGAACAGCGAGATGCCTTCACAGCATCTTCATATACTAACCACGCACCCACAGGGCACTGCTAAAGGCCATGGAGCTGTGAGGGGAACTTTAACACCTGCCTTCATGGAGCTCACTGCTGGTTGGGGGTGGGGGGTAATGACAGGGACAGAAAACTGGCCTCTTTGGAAGTGAACACCTTGTTCGCTAAGGAAGAACATTATCTACAGACCCTTAAGGGGAAGGAAGGGGCGTGTGAAAGATGCATTTTCAGCTGTTTAATATTGAAAGAGAAAGTCACTTTTACAACATATATTTGTTTATTCTAGTCATGGAAGGCCATGTCTGAGGAAAGGGTGAAGGGAGACAGTCACATGGGTCCAGGCAGCCCCGGCCTCCAACCCCAACCCAAGGTTTAGGAATCCTTCTCCATCCTACCTGAGGCCACCTTGGGTTGGTTACCAACAATTCCAACAGTCCTCCCATTCATTCTTGCAAAACCAACAACGATATTCTTGGCATAACTGGGCATGATCTCAAAAAATTCTCGCTCATCAACAACCTGTAGAAATAAATTTACTCCTGAACTCAAACTGATAAATACAAGTACAAGACAGAAGTACAAAAGGACAAAGCTGGACCGCTTACAACACAGCTTCTGCAGGGCAGGCAGCAGCTCCTCTGCTGCAGGGAGGAAAGCTTTGCACACAGTGCACTAGACTTTTTTTTTTCCTTGGGAGTCCATAATATTTTTAATTGACAGACTACTTCTTCTAAGTGTATAGTAGTGCAGCTTGCAATGAAGTTTTTTAAATTTGAATTTAGAATTGTTTATGGCTATTTGTTTTATCTTTTATTTTGAAATCATTTCTAGCTTATGTTTCAAGACCAGTACAAAAAATATTCATGTACCCTTCACTCAGATGCCTCATTTATGAACATTTTCTGTCATTCTTCCTCCATACTCACTTCTTTCTCATACACAGACATGCACACCCATGCACACATTTCTTTTCCCTGACTCATTAAGAGTAAGTTACGGTCATGATACCTCTTCATCTCTCAGGCCCTCACTGCCAATCTCCTAAGAACAAGGACATCCTCTCTCTGACGTAACTGGAATCAGGAAATCAAAGTGCTATTTTCTGTTATACAACCTTACTCAATTCTTGCCAGTTGCTCCAATAATATCCTTGATAGTAACAGAAGCAACAAAAGTCCTGTCCAGAATCTGACCTGGGACTACCTGGTGCTGTTAGTGGTCACGTCTCTTTGGGCTCCTTGAATTTTCTCTCCTTCAGGCTTTGTCTTTCATATGGTCATGGTATCTTTGAAGACAAGAGTTTCTTTACAGAATTTGTAGAATGTGTAGAATGTGCCTCCTGTCTGGCTTTGTCTGTTGTTTATTCATGTGTAATCTTAGATTAAGTGCTTGTTGACTAGAATGTCACAGAAGCAACCCCAGTGAATCTCATCAAGTGGTAAATGTCAATTTGTCTGCCAATGGTGGTCAGTTCTGCTAGGAGTCTCCTCTGAGAAGTTACTATTTTTCCAATGTAATTAAAAGTAATCTGTGGGAAAAGACTTTGAGACTATGTAAAAATCCTGTTCTTTATCAAATTTCCATCAAAACTCCAGTCCTAGCTAGGTGTGTGGTGAACACCTATAATCCCAGTGCTCTGGGAGGCTGAAATAGGAGAATCATAAATTGGAACCCAGTCTGAATAATTTTAAAAGATCCTATTTCAAAATAAATAAAAAATAAAAAGGGCTAGAAATGTAGCTCAGTGAGAAGGCCCTAGAGTGAATCCCTAGTACCACCAAAAGAAAAAAAAAAAGCCCCAGTCCATTGCTGATTCTTATCTGACTCAATTATTGTTGCCAAATGGAGATGTTTCTAATTCCAATCTTCTTCCCAGTGATGTCTTAAATTACTATTTAGGAAGGTCTGTATTTTGATCTAGTGGTTACTTTGCAATTATGCCTTTAGTCTATTTCCTTATTTTAATCTTTCTTAACTGGTTTGTCTCTTTTTAAGGATATTTGTTGATTGACAACAATCAATGAGCTGATTCTCTTATGCTCTTTCCCTCTCTGCATTTTTGAGTTGCATTTGTTTCTTCAACTAAACATTTATACACTGCTTATCAAGTATCCTCAAAGTAAACTAGAAAGTGGGCACTGCTACATGTGAGTCACAAAGTACTTCCTGAGAAGCTGATGCCACACCGGGCTCCTCACACCTCAGCTCAGGAGTCCAGACAAGGAAACCTCCCATCCTCCCCGCATGAACTAACTGCCACTAGAGGCAGAATGTGAACCCAGGACAGGCAGATTTTGAAAGTCACTGTTTCAATTAAGATTTTAAATGCCCCTCAGAGGAACACATGCGAAAGGCTTGATCTCCAGTCTGCGGCACCACTGAGAGATGGTGGGGCCTAGTGAAAGAAGTTAGGTACCCTAGAGCAGTATACAGGGACCTCAGCTCCTTTCTGCTTCCTGGCTGCCGTGAGGCCAGCAGCTCTGTTCTACCACAAGTTACACACACACCATGAAGCTCTGCCTTGTCACAAGCCCAAAGCAAAAGGCCATGGGACCATGGACTGAAACCTCTGACAATGTGAGCCACGTTCAACACACTCCCATGTGTGTCCTGACCTATCACAGGACATACTGTGTAATCTCATTTCCCTAGAAAGAAAAAGTACCCTAATCAGGAGACTCCCAACAAAGGCATCTTAGTTACTTCCTCTTTGCTGAGCCAAAATACTCAACACCTAAAATTAAAGGAGGGAGGGTTTTGTTTTGTTTTTGGCACTGGGGATCGAACTTGGGCCCTTGAGCTTGCAAGGCAGGCGACAGAACCACTGAGCCAAATACCTGGCCCGAGGAAGGGTTTATTTTAGCTCACAACTTTTTGTGGTTTGACAAGCAACAGCAAGCCTTCTGGACTTTTACCCCATCCAGACTGGAAGCCTCCTGGTTGGTGCCACCCACATCCAGAGTGGGCCTTAACATCATCCACACCTGGAATTATGCTAAACCACTCAGTGGACTGATTCAGTTGCCATACACCCATAATCCACATTCACACCCTAGGTTCAGCCACCTCCAAAATCCCCACCTATGAGCACATGATGCTTTGGGGGGGACATCTAGAGATGTACACTAATAGTATCTAATAGGTATTGGTCCCACTTCACTCCAGATTCGGGACATGGCCCTTAATCTGTACCTCAGAACCATTCTAAAGACCCCAAGTGCTGGGCATGGTAGCGCCACCCATAATCCCAGCACTCGGGAGGCTGAGGCAGGAGGATCGCCCCAAGTTTGAGGCCAACCTGGGCTACATAGTGAGTTCAGGGCCAGCCTGAACTACAAAGAGAGACCCTGCCTCGAACAACAATCAAAAAGACCCCTCAGAGACAGCAGCAACTGCTGCTGCTGCTGCTGTCTCCCACCTACCCTGCCATAGACGGTTCTCCTCTGCCATGCCCCTCTGCCATGCTCCCTTGCCTTGGAGCCAGCAGATTATGAACTGAAACCTCTACAAACTGTGTGCTGAAATAAACCTTTCCTCTGTTTAAAAAAAAAAAAAAAGACCCCTAGGATCTGCCAGCCCAACAGCCCTCCTCCCTTCTCTGGGCCATCAGGACATCCTTACCTACCAGCTCTTCCCAGCACATGCTATTCAGGGGCCCTAGTCTCTTGTCCACCCTGTGCCCACTTGTGCTGACACCCAGGCCAGGACCAACACTTCCTCACTAGGCCAAAACACATGTAGATGCAGCTGAGCGAAACCAAGCAAGCACAATTCTTACCGAGTGTACGATATCCAGCATGTCGTAGGCTTTGGTAGATTCCAGAGGGACAACTGTGTCAAGCTCAGGAACCAGACGCTCACTAGAAAAGAAGCAGGCGTCATCAACACAGGGGGAGCCTGTCACCTTCAGGGGAAGTGGGAAAGTAGAGGCAGAGACACAACTTGGGGATTGGGCTGGACCGGCAAAAATGTTCATTACAAGGAACCCGAATAATGCCAACCCAGAATACCTTCCAGTTTAGTTTTTGAGGGGTTTTTTGGTGGTAGTGGTGGTGGTTGTTGAGATACTGGGGATCCAACCAACGGGTACTCTACCACTGAGCTACTTACTCTGCAGCCCTTTTTATTTTTCATTTTGAGACAGGTCTGCACTAAGTTCTCAGGCTGGGCTTGACCTTCTGATCCTCCTGCCTCAGCCACTCAAAGACTACACATGTGCACTATGCCCAGCCCAGTTTTCTTCTAGAGTAAAAATAGAGCTTATTCCCCTAAACGTGGCTTTTCATCTGCCCTCTGAATATGTCCTCCATCCTGGACACTGCACAAGGCACTAAAGGGCTTGTAGTGAACAAGACATAGCCTGGAAGATCCCACTCTGACTTCCTGTAACATTAAAAACAAAACATCAGAGACTTAAAAGCACAAGAGTTCTGCAAAAACTATTGTGGGTTCATGTCCCCTGTTGGAAGGGTAACCTGGTAAAGTTCCTTTAAAAAGCAAATCAACAGATCTGAGGAGGTGCACATGCTGTAACTCCAGCTACTAGGAAGGATCACAAGATTGAGGTCAGCCTGGCAACTCAGCAAGAGCCTGTCTCAAAATAAAATAAAATACAGTTGACTAGAAATGTAGCTCCGTGGTGGCATGCTCCTGGGTCATTCTCCGGTATGGGAGGTGTTGTAGTCAGGGCTTACAAGGGAATAGATTTAATACAGGATACGTAATTTATAGGATTATTTTATAACATTCACCCCGAAAGTCAAATACAGAGGAGTACAAGAGAACTGTCCATGCACTACATACCTGAAGAATCCAGCCCAGGACCTGGATCCCTAGGCAATGTCCCCCGTGAGTCCAGCCAGAGGCCTCGAGCCCATGGCAACGTCTCATGTAAGTCTGCATCAAGGATCTACACTGGGAAGGCCCAAGGGCTACGGGTGGAAGCTAGCAACTCTGCACCAATGGGGCAAAGGATCTGTGCCACCAGAAGGAAGGATCTGCACTGGAGCCAGGAAGTGATTCACAAGGAGAGAGCCAGAGCTCCTCTGAAGAAAACAGCAGCCATTCCCAGTGATGATGAGAATAGCTGAGCTGTATCAGGAAAACCAGCTGCACTGTGCCCAGAACCATGCTGACTCAGTTCAGCTGGGCATTCCAAGTTGACCACTAGTTAATCCACAACAGGAGGGGTATAGAGGGATGCAGGGTACAGGAGGACCTCTGGGCAGAATCATTTTGGGCTAAACTGTGAAACATGGCCTTGTGACTCCTTCTGATACAGGATTCAGGGCATGGCAAATCTGGCTGGAAAATGAGCAGGATGTGTCAATTACAAGATCTCAGGGCAATGCCAGGACCCCTATGTAGAACTTCCTGCAAGCTTCCATGAGATGTGAATGGCATAAAAGAAAACCAGACACCAAGGAAAGTGTGCTATAATGATTTCCAGTGATAGCCCATGCAGCACTTCTCAGACACTGTGTGTACTTTTATTTTTGCTTTTACCTTCTTTTTCTCTTGTTCTGCCCAAGTTTGCTCTGCAGAACTGGCATCTCCCATACCCATTCACCCTGGGCTTTTCAAATAAACTTCTGGCACGTTCAGTTCTTCATTCAAGGCAAGAAGGACCTGGAGGACTTCTGATTGGTGAGCCATTTGTAAAGCAATTAACCTGATAAAACTTCCTCCTGCATCTAGGTTCTTGGCAGGGAGCTAAGCCAGAGTCTGTTACACCCCCCAGAGTAACTCAATAGTTGACATCCCCTCTGCCCCCTCTCTCCAACAGGCTCTCAGCCCTTTCTGACCATGTGAGCAGCCAGTAGCTCCACTGATCCTGGGTTCAGGTCTGGCCTTGGTCAGGCCATCTAGCCAAACATCCCAGAGAGCTCTACTCCATACTAGCACGGTCCCAACTGACCATGAGGTCCTCCTCTTACTCTTCCTGAATCATTTATACACACAACCTCCCTGGGCCAGGCAGGCTACTTGGATACTTCTGGGACCCTGGACTACTACATTCTTGGATGGTACCCTAACCCTTCAAGGGCTACAAACCACACACCTATTGTTCCTGGGCTACGGTGTGTCCCCCCAAGAGTGAACCCTGAGGACATGACTTCAGGGCTGCACTGGCTCAGTAAGAGTCCCCATATGGGGGCCCAGGTCCAACCCACAAGGCAATGTCTGGAAATGGCCTCTTCCTCTCTACAAAAGGCACTCCAGACCCAGTAATTCTCATTCAGAGAAGCAGAAACAGACAGAGACATGGGGCAGTGATTCCCCAGCTGGGCCTCTCCCTAACTCTATGGGACCCTCTGCACACATCCAGCAGTGGCCCCCAAAGCAAGAGGGAGAGTAGGTCCTCAATGAGAAGCCAATAGCAGCACACCCTTCACAGGCCAGTCCAGCCTCGGCTGAGAGCAGCTTGCAAAGCACATTTCCTTAAGCCCATGCTGTCTGCATTCCTTCACATTTATTTATTTCATATCAAGACAAAACAGAAACTAAACTTTCCACTTCAAAAAAGCACATAAATATGTGGAAAATGCTCAACATCACTGGTCACTCAAGAAATACAAATTAAAACAACACTGAGATTCCTTCTCACTCCAGAGAGAATGCCTATCATCAAGAAATCAACCAATAACCAATGCTGGTGTGGCTGTGGGGAAAAAGGAGACCTTCTAAATTGCTGATGGGAGTGTAAACTGGTACAATCGCTACAGATACCAGTATGAAGATTCCTCAGAAAACTAAAACTAGAGGTTCCACTTGACCCAGGTGTTGCTTTCCTATGTATTTTCCCAAAAGAGTTAAAAGCATCATACCACAGTGATACATGGACCTCCATGTTTATAGCAGCACAATTTATAATAGCTAAATCTAGGAAACAGCCCATATGCTCATCGACAGATGAATGGATAAAGAAAATGTGATGTTTACACACAATGCAGTACTACTCCTCCACCATAAAGAAGTATAAACTTGAGTCATTTGTAGGAAAATGGATGCACCTCAATACCATAATCTTAAGTGAAATAAATCGGACTTACAAGTCTAAATATTGCATTGTTTCTCTTGTGTAAGAAACTCGAAGGGTAAACGAAGAGCACAATGGAAGATAGATATTGTTCACATAGGAAATGTCTTTTTTTTTTTATAGCTGAGACAAAATACCCAACACCCAAAGTTAGAGGAAAGATTTATTGTAGCTTATAGTCCATAATCGCTGGCTCCAAGGCAGTGAGGTATGGCAGAGGGGGATCACAGAGGAGAAACAGTCCATGGCAAAGCAGAAAGAGGCAGCCAGCACTGAAGTAGCAAGCAGCAAGCAACAGACAAGTGACAGCAGCAGCCCTCTTTCTGTCCCTCATAGTCTATCCAGGTTACCCTCCTTTAGGAAAGCGGGTAGCACTCACACCCAGGGAGGGTCTTCCCATTATCCACACCCAGAACTAAGCCCAACCAATCGATGGACTAATTTTGTAACCACACCCCCTTTGATCCCAGCCTCACACTCTGTAGATTCAGCCACCTCTGAAAAGCTCCACCTATGTATGAGTGCATGAGGCTTTGGGGGGAAATCTAGACACAAACCGTAACAAAAGGGGAACAAGGGAGGCAGGAGAAGGAATGGAAAGAAGGGGGAAAAAAGAGAATAGATTGAAAAAAATGGAAACAAAGTTTGTAAATGGGGAGGGGAAGAAAGGTTGAAAGCAGGGGAGCAGAATGAGAAAAAAAAAGAATCAAGATATATCGGGGCCGGGGGTTTAGCGCAGTGGCTCCGTTGTCTGCCTCGCAAGCATGAGGTCCCAAGTTCAATCCCCAATACCCACCCCCAAAAAAAGAAAGAAGACATATTACATGTACAAATTCCCTGTGATGAATATGATAATAGGCATGAAGACGTGCACTAATAAAAAATATAAAGTTACAAAAAACTTCCACTCCAAGTTTGGGAAACTCCAGAGTGTTTCTCAGAAAGCAGACTTTGTGTTCCCCACCCCCTGCACTGAAGGTATCCTCACATGTGGCCACATCATGCCTGTACCAGGGAGTTACACTGCTGTACCCCACAGCCTGCCCCAAGGCGCCCCCAGGGCAGGTCCACAAGTCATGTTAGGACAGAGGGGCCAGGAAAGGACAAGTCACCCTGCCAAAGGGGGAAAGAGGCACTGGCCTGCAGCCCACCTGGGATCGTGGCACTCACGGACAGGGGCCAGGTCCTGACAGCTGAGGGGCAGGTAGTTGAAGAACTCCCGGAGGTTACACAGGGCGTCCACATCATTCTCAAAGGCCCTGTGGGCCACACCTGCGAAGAAGGGAAGACACGATGGACCGGGGTGCTGGCCAGCTGGAAGACGCTGCTCCCTCTGTGCCCTTCGGTCAAGTACACCTGTAGCAGGCAGCTTTGTCTTCTATCTGCCAGGGAGGACACCACTTCTCCTCCGCTTTCCACAAGACTGAGCCTGAGGCTGAGCTTCCTTCACACAGTCGCTTCCCTCTAGGGATCAAGCCTTTCTTTATTCAGGTCTTACGCCAATGTTACCTCCACACTTACCTGTGGCCCTCACTTCCCTCCCTGCACCTCGATGGGGGCTCTGGACACACTTCTCTGCTGACTGCGAAGCCTTCCTGGAGTACTGGCTCCAACAGCGTCTGCTCACCACAGCACCCCATCAAGGCACCCCATCAAGGCACCCCATCAAGGACAGCACCTTGCCTGCAGTGAGCACTAAGGAAAAGCAAGGAACTGTGGCCCCCATGAGGGACCAAGCCATTGGACCTGTAGAGTTCTGAAATAAAGACCAGCCAAACAAGGCCAGTCAAGGGCTCAGCAAGCGGAGCCAAGAACTCTCAGATTTGCCTCACCAGACTTCCTGCCTCCACCACTGACCCTACCGTCCGTCATCCACACAGCTTCAGAGGGAGCTGAAATCAAGTCTCTCCTCCCAACCGCCTGCTGCTTGACCAAGTATACCAGTCATTCCTGTGCCCCAGTGTCTTTGCACAGCTGGTTTCTCCCTGCAGGCTCCTCCCCAGCCACCCACACAGTGAAATCCTTCAAATCTGTTCAGCCATTACCCTCAGTGAGGCCACCATCCTCACCACCCTGTGTGAAAAATCATAATGCCAACTCCCTTTATCCACCGTTCTAATTCTTATATATATCATCTTCCAACACACTACATAATGTACTGATTTATGATGTTTTCTATTTTCTTTTTCTTTTACTAGAATATAAGCCCATATTGGTAGTTTTGTGCCACAGTTGTTCTGGCCACAGATATAACTTCACACATAGACACTCGATGAGTATTTCTTGAATGAATACAAAGCATTTTTTCACTGTGACCATTCTTTCATTTATAAAGAATTTATAAATTAGTATAACAGCTTTGAAAGACAGCTGGAAGTGCCTGGCAGTTTAAACACAGTTCAATCCCTAGTACCTTCAAAGATCAAACAAACCTAAACATAGTTATTTAACCTAGAAATTCCTCTTCAAAGTTCATACCAAAAAGAAATGAAAAAATACGCCCACACAAAAAACAAATAAATATACACATGTTTATAGCAGTGTATTACTGAAAACAACCCAAATGTCCACTAAACCGGTCACTGGGTTAACACAACGTGGTGAGGCTGGGGTGAGGCTCAGTAGTACAGCACTTATCTAACAAGCATGAGGTCCTGGGTTGGCCCAGCACAGCAAAAAGAAAAAGGGAAGTATAAAAGACAGATATGACCGTGCACACCTATAATGCTAGCACTCTGGGAGGCAAAGGCAGGAAGACAGAAAGTTCCAGACCAGCCTGAGCAGCTTAGCAACTTAGCAAGACCTTCTTCCAAAATTTAGAAATGGAAGCCGGGTATGGTGGCTTACACCTATAGTCCCAGCACTTGGGAGGCTGAGGCAGGGGGATCATCACAAGTTTGAGGTCAGCCTGGGCTACACAGTGTTCAAAGCCATTGAATATATAGCAAGACTCTGGACTTAAAAAAATAATAATAATAAATGATTTTTTTTAAAAAAAAACAAAGGGCTGGGGTCATAGCTTACTACAAAGTCACAGGTTGAATCCCTAATACTGCAAAAACAAGTGGTATGCAAAAACAACCATTATGCAGCCATAAAAAATGAATTAAGTACTGATTCATGATAGATGATAAACCTTTAAAAAAATGTTCAAAGTAAAAAAAAAGCAGCCACAAAAAAATACATGTTGTAATGATTCTATTTATATGAAATGTCCAAAAGAGGTAAATCCATAGAAACAAAGTTGCACTGTATAGAACTAGAGTCTTTGGGATGTGACAGGGTATAACTGCTAATGAGTACAGGGTTCCTTTATTTAGGGTACTGAAAATGCTCCAAAACTGATTATGAGAATCAGTACACAACTCTGACTATATTAAAAACCACTGAACACTAAATAGGTAAAATATACAGTAAATTATCAAGAAAAGGAAGAAAGAAGCAAAATAGCACAATGAAAGAAAGATGTGAAGAACGCCTTTGGGTCCTTTCTTCAGGCCCACAAAGGATACTACATACTGTCCCTAAAAAAACAAGAGTCATGACACACACACACCTGTAATCCCAGTTACTAAGGATGAAGCAAGGAAGATCGTAAGTTTGAAGACAGCCTGGGCAACTTAGCAAGAAGCTGTCTCAAAATAAAATAAAAAACAAAGAGGCTGGGGGTGTATAGCTCAGTGGGAGAGCACTCGCCTAAAATGTGCAAGGCACGTTCAATCCTCAGCACAGCAAAAAACCAAAATGCACTCCAAAAATCACGCTACAAAAGAAAATGTAGTGTCACAGGTGACACTCATTACTTAAAGCTGTCAAGTGAAAGAAATGGTACAGAAAAACATGCATGCATATGATTGTATATATGTACACGTGGGTACTCTGTTGTCTCTGTGAAAAACACTAGGAGGTATAACCAAAGCTCAGTGGTGATTATCTGTAATGATACAATTTCTAGTAACGATGAATTTTAGTCCTGTATTTTCTATTACAAACATTAACAATTTTGAAATAAGCAACTGCACATTTAGTCAAATCAAGACAACACAGAGCCCAGCACAAACGACAACTGTCCATAAGGCCTGGGACATGACGGAAGCTATGTGGTGGAGGGAGGATGAGAAGTGTCCAACCTGGGACAAAGAAGGACAATTTTTGTGGGTCGGGCATCAAGAACTTTGACTTTCTGAAACAACATATTTCAGCCAGGGTTGGTGGCACTTGGCTGTAATCCCACTCCAGAGGCTGAGTTCAAGACCTGCCTGGGCTATATAATGAGTTCAAGGCTGGCCTAGACTATAGGGCAAAATCCTGTCTCAAAAAGCAAAAACAAATAAAAAGCATATTTCATCAATATAAGACTTGTCTAATAAAAACATCGCTACTATAACGACACTAAAAAGAAATGCTTTAAACCACAGTACAGTGTGGTGTGGGACTCAGTCACATCTGGCTCCTACTGCTTTGAAATCTTGCAAGAAAGTAATTTTCCCTATCCTCAGTTACACTCCTTGCTCTGTGGTAGGTGATCATTTCACAGCTTGATGCTTTTTTCCTGAGAAAATATGGAATTGCATTCATTATTCCAACAGCAAACATGTCTTCAGTGATGTGAAAATCATTCCCAGCTCTTAATCCTATGCCTTTCAGTTCAAACAAGAACTTTTTGTTTCAATACCAAAGTACTGAAACGTGAGTATTTTAAACTCAGCTTATTTACTGTGAACAGAGGTTAACGATAATGGTCCAAGGGTAGAAGAGTGGGTAGGGTGTTTGCCTAGCATGTGTGAATCCTTGGGTTAGATCCAAAGTCACTCACACACACACACACACACACACACACACACACACACACACACACAAGACTAAAGTCATTAACACATATGGCAGGACAATCACATTAAGACTACACCTGGCCAATGCGAACAGGTGATACCTACCTAAGACATACCCTAAATCTGGGAGAAAAAAGTGTCACAAAATATACATTTTAAAAATTTCAACTCACATATATCAAGTCATACCTACTTATACCCTTGATTCCAAAAACTAGCTTTATGTAAAGAATATCAAAGCAGGGACTGAGGTGTAGCTTAGTGGCAGAGTGGTTGCCTAGCATGAGGAATGACCTAGGTTTGGTCCCCAGCATGAAAAAAAAAAATCACTGTATGTAAAATATAGTGAGTCTCTCTGGTTAAACTAAAAACTTTAAATAGGTTTTTTGTTAATTATCAGTGTAAACCTGGCTGAAAGCCACCAAAGAGTCCAACATGGAGAAGCAAAGACCAGCAGCAAAACACAGCCTCTCTGGGACCTAGAAACAAGACACTTAAAAAATAACAACTTGATGGAAAGAAAAAAAGTAGAACTCTGGGAATCAGAGAAGCTGGAGAAACAGAGCACAATGCAGAGAAAAGTATGAAGCCATCTGGAAGCACGCCTGGCTCCTGTGAACACAAGGTAAGCCCAGGATGGTTCAGCAACACAGGGAGAAACCACAGCCCAGGCTGCAGCACTAGCCACAAGAAAAAAACACGGTTATTTTAAACTGCAAAAATAGCATGGGAGTTTTTACTCCAAAAGTGACTCCTTCCGTGAGCCAGGCTAGGCATGGAGACAAAAATCCAGCGCAGAACCCACCAGATTTGAGAGAGTTTAATTAGGAATCATTTTGAGAAGGCATTAACTTTTAACACTGAGTCACAGAACATCTACAGAATAATGATACTTCAGTTTCTGGAGCCACAGTGATGGTGGAAGAGACAGCTGTGGAGAGAGCACAGGCCAGACACAGACCCCTAGAAAAGTTTAAGATCAGGCCAGAAAGAAACAAAGGGACTCTGCCCACTGTAGTGAGAAGCAAGGCCCAGTGTGTAGCTCTCAAGGGACGTAGGTATGAAAGTGCTGACATCAAGGCCAACGCCTGGCTCAACCCCGCCCCACTGCCAACATTCAGCACAGAACTCAGTAGTCCATTTCCCTTCCTCATCTACCAATTTGAGCAGTATATGGCTTGGCTTGGATGGTTGCCGCACCTCAGGGTGTACAGACAGTGGGGCCTCTAGGGTAGAGAGGCACCTCACAAACACACAGAGAAGACCATACCTTACAGTGAACACAAGGACACAGAAAGTGAGAACTGCCAGAGTGAATATATCCCTAGAGCGGACATCACTGACACAGTGGGAAGGCGGGGCAGGATCAGCATCACACACAAAAAATGTGAGCATGGAAACAAAATAGGTTTTAGCACTGGCTGTCTCACCCTCACGTCT